GTGATTCTGTATATAAGAGTGGACTAAAACAAAGTACAGGACCTCATCGACGCTATTGAAGACGAGTGGCGACCGACCCCTCGCTAACTCATGCGCTTTGATTGCATCCATGAAAGCGATCCCAAACTTATTGCGCGAGAAATTGGATAACAATTTGTTTATTAGGAAAAACCTGTCGGACAGGTATTGCGGCGAAAATATGCCCACAGATCTGAGTGTCAGGTCCCGGGGCTATAGTCACCAAATAAGACATAAACACATTGTTATACAACTAATTGTTTATAATTTTCTAGTGATCGTGGATCAAGTCTTAAACTTACTTCAGTCCAAATCATGGAAATGGGATGAATTCCCGCTGAATGACAGATCAGACAATCAATTGTCGAGACATTAATGGCTTTCAAGAAGTCTCGTATGAATTGAGATCTTTCTTCGTTTGAGTGCCAGAAAGCCATCGTCTGTCGGGTGATCCCGAAGTCCGGCATATTTGGTGCGATCACTCGTACTTTGGACCCATTTTTACCGAAATAATCGCATAAACCACTGAAGTGTTTGTAATGACCCGGATTACCATGAATGGCAACTATAGTCTTGACGGCATCACTATTTGATGGCTTTATATCACCGAAAGTGTCCACATATTCAACACTCACTGGCAGTCCATCTGAAGGACTGTTNAATAATCGCATAAACCACTGAAGTGTTTGTAATGACCCGGATTACCATGAATGGCAACTATAGTCTTGACGGCATCACTATTTGATGGCTTTATATCACCGAAAGTGTCCACATATTCAACACTCACTGGCAGTCCATCTGAAGGACTGTTCCGATAAAGTCTTGGATTAGTTGTCTTCAACTTGTCATACAATTGACCACAAGTTTTGAATTCAATTCTTTTGACTATTTTATCACTAATTGTCGAGAAATGAACTCTTCTATAGGTTTGCACTGAATTTGTGGTCAATTTGAATAAATTTGAATTCAAAACACATTTAATTGAAATCATATTTAATATAAATTTTTAAAATTACGGCAAAACTAATAAACAAAACAAAACTTTGTTTAACACTTCAAACACGGATTCAAAACATTTATCACATATTCTGTAAGAGATTCTTCATATTCTTCGTATAGTCAATGAAAGTGATCCCAAACTGTCATCAAAATAAATCAAATTGAATCAGTCGTGAGCTACAAGTGTTCACTAGCGAATATGTTGTAAACGGAAAACAAAGGGCACTTTAGTGGACTCTCATCACATTGAGTGAATGCAATTTTAATTATGATATTATGATTGATTCATATAGAACTTTGGACGAGGAGTCCGAATATAGGATTTATATTGTCCGGTGACCTCGGGTTCGGCCGCAGTGACCACTTTTATCGCGAATTATTTCCGTTATAAATAT